GCAGAACCGATACGAGATTGACTGATTGATTGAGTGTAAGAAATTGGCTCATGCAATTTAAGAAATTGGCTTGTGTAATAAGAGGTTGACTGATTGATTGATTGATGTTAAGGAATTGATTCAGGCAATTTGACTAGCAAATCCAGAATCTATAAGGCAGGTCAGAAGCTTGGGCACTCAGGCAGGATTGGATGCTGCAGTCCTGAGTCATGAGGTTTCACCAAGAAAACTGCTTTCGCCCTTAAGTCCCCTGGATGATTAGATCAACCCACCTAGATTATCGAGTGTCATCTCCTTTACTGAAAGTAAGTCGATTATAGATGTTAATCACACAAAACACCTTTGCAGCAACACTTAAACTAGTATTTAATTAAATAACTGGATACTATAGCCAAGCCAAGCTGACACAGAAGACTAACCATCACAGACACCGTCAGGGTCAACTGGCAGAAATTAAAGGATATAAGTTAATAGTTCAGAAAGAACACTTAAGGCTGACTAGACACTGGGGGGATGGAGAAGCGAGTTCCGGGCATCCCTGACCTTTGGCTTCACCTGCTAACTGGTCAGAGTCAGGTAAACTAACCATAGTTGTTCTGTTTGTCTCACCTGGTCTCCGCTTGTATGGCTTCTTGCAAGAAACCCTATACATTTGGAAGCCTGGATTGAAACAGGGCAGACAGTCCTCTCTCTTTAGGGAAGGGTAGGAGCCACCCAGGCAGTCGGAGGGGTTGTGCTTCCTGGAGGCGGGAGACTAAACTAGGAGCCATCGATAAAAGCAGCTCCTCGTTACTGCCAGGTGCTGGGTGATGCCAGTTCTTAATTCCTCCCGCTGGATCTGTTGTCTTCTACAGTGGAGTTATGTGCCCAAGGATCAGGGGGAAATGAAAAATGCACCACTTTCATTGATACCAGGACCGTTACTGAAAATCTCGCAACTATAGAACTCCTCTGGCAAATGAAGCCAGAGCTCAAGGCTTGGACCTGGAATCTATGCGAAACTTCTATTCTCTCCTCCTGCAAATCCAAATCGAGTGTCTGGAGCAGGAGAGAGAGAAGGAGAAAGAGAAAAAGAAGGAGAGAGAAACTTGTCCAGGCTTGGGTTCTAGAGTCAAGTCCGTGTGCCCTGCCCAGATGTGCTATTTGCGGGCGCAGAAAGAGCAAGAGGCACAGAGGAGGAGAAGTAGATAACAAAACGTCCTGATAACCGTTTCTTATCAGTTTGTAGAAAGTAGAAGTGAGCATAGTCAGCAGAATCCCAATTTCTTTGCAACTCCCTGCTGGAAAGGGAACATGCCTACACGTGGAGTTTGGACCAAAAACGTCAGGGACTCCTGCCCTAGGGCAGAGCACAGACGGAAGCAGCAGGTGCAGATCCACGCGCCGGGGCCTGAGGCTGGCCCACGAGCAGGCCTGGCTAGGGCTTGGCACACCCTCCCGTGATGCGCACGTATTATCCAGAATAAAAGTCTCTGTCCCTACATAGCTATCGACTCTTTACTCCGTGTGGAATTCATTATTAAGTATCCAGAAAAATATCAACTACTACCCTCGCAACCAAGTGAATTGTTATCAGTAACATCCTACTCAGATTTCTGGAGTAAACTAGCTGCCTACAGGAAGGTATAAAACCTTCTGCTATGAACAATGATCACATAAAGGCATGTATGTCTGTCCTGGCCATGATAAATTTGAGTTTGGGTGACATTTGTTGGACCACAGCAATCTCAGCACCTGGAAGTCGGCAAATTTATCTAAAAAGCAACCTGCTGGCTCATTGCCAAAAATGCACCCAAAGACCCATGCAATGCAGCGTTTATTCCCTTGTGTGTTCCCTGTGTGGGTCTGTGTGGGTCTGTGTTGGTCCATGACTAAGTTTTAAGCAGTAGAATAAGGCTGAAGAGATGCTTGGGATTTCCAAGGTTGGATTATAAGAGACGTTGAAAGCTCCACCTGAGTCTCTTGGAATGTTCTCCCTGGGTAAAGCTGTCACTAACAGGTCCGTCTACAGGACGGCCACGCTGTGAGGAAGCCCAAGCTAGCCGTGTGGAGAGGCATCTTTGAGAGAGATGCTCAACCAGCTACAGGCGAGCCCAGGGGCGAGGCATGCTAATGAACCAGCCTTCCGATGCTCCAGCCCCAGGTGTCGTCCGGCAGGATGACAGACCCCAAATGAGAACCGCTCAGCTGAGCCCAGTGAACCCCTAGAACCACGAGATTGCGTTTCAAGCCAGGGGTCAGCAAACTAGTCTGTGAACCAAATCTGGCCCTGCTGAATATTGTTGGTTGTCACAACCGGGGGAAGGGGTGCTACTGCCATCTAGTGGGTAGAAACCAGGAATATTGCTACACACGCTACAGTGCACAGGATAGCCCCCCAAACAGAGAGCGATCTAGTCCCCCAAAGCAACAGTGCTCAGCCTGAGGTCTGAGCTGGCACTGCCAGACGAAAGGACGGCTCAGAATCTCCATTCAGTGGGCTGCCAAGTGTACACTGTGTGTGTACAATCTAGATGGCAGAGACTAAGCTTCAAAACAGAACCAATGCCTAATAAGATCAGATTTACATTTACATAAACAAGAACATTTATATCTTGAAGGAACAGGAAAGAAATGTAAGTTTTTCCTTTGCTAGGGGAGAGAAAGCAGCAGGAGGTAGAGGTGACCAAAGAGAGAAAAAGATGGAATCTGGGTCGGGTGGTCCAGATAAAAAAAGATATGAAGGAGGAACAGGAGAAAGAGGCAGTGGTAATGCTAGTGGCTTTTTTTTTTTCCAGTATCGTTTCAAGCAATTTTTCACTGGTTTCCTGCAAAGAAGTTATTCTTATCATTTCCTCTTTTAGAAGATTCTAAAAACCAGTCGAAAGAAGCATTCAACTCAGTCTGCTTGATCTGATGGTCAGCTTTCTTGAAAAAAGATAATTTGTGTACATACACAAAAAATAATCTGGGGGTGTCAAAAGAACCCCAATTTGGCCATTTTAGGTTGAGATCTCCTTTAATATGGTTTCTCCAATTAAGTATTTACAAGTGTGAGTTCCATACATATTGTACGTGAACCTGACTAGGGTATTTGTCGGAGGTCTGGCAATTTGTCATTCCTTTTTCTTTTGCGTTGAAAAAGGAATGACATTCTAGGGTGGGTTTGTCAGGATAAAACCGCCAGTGATGATTGTGTAGTGGGCCAGTGTGATGTTTGTGAGCTTAACTCCTCTAGGTGTCGCCCTAGAGTCACTTCATCTCTCTTAGATGTCAGTATCTCCCTCCGGCCACCTGAAACCACCATGAGTATTCGGATCAGTGAGTGGCTAGCTCTCATATGTGGGCCCCAGATGAGCAAGTTTTTTAAATTAAGTGAGTGAATAGATAAACAAGATTATACTGTATAGCACAGGGAAATATATACAAGATCTTGTGGGAACTCACAGCAAAATAAATGTGACAATGAATATATGTATGTTCATGTATAACTGAAAAAGTGTGCTTTACACTGGAAATTGACACAACATTGTAAACTGACTATACCTCAATAAAATAAAATTTTAAAAAATAAAATAAAAAATAAATTAAATGAGTGGATTTCCCTATGGGACTATTAGACGTTCTGAGGACTTACCACCCCCACAAGTTTCCCAGTTGCCAAAGAAAGCCATTGCCAGCTCTTCTCTTCTTCAGAGCTGAAAGCTCTCATGTGATATTTTCACTTTTATTCCAACAAACTCCATTAAAGTAGGCAATTCAAGGACAAACAACAGGCTAATCTCCTACCTACTCACTCAGTCCAAACCCACTCAGTGTCTTTCAACTGAGCAAAATCTTCCCAGTGTTTATCAACTGGGGTAACCCAGGTACCTCTTCTTGAAACTAAGTCCAAGGAAAACCTACTCCTCATGGGGCAGAGTTTATCCACCACCCAGTAAAACAGGATGGTCAGCCAATAACAGGTGATCCAAGATCCAGGAGAGATTTGGCCAATCATCTGGACTTACAAATGAGACAGACAGGCACAAGTGGCCTCAGATGGTACCAAAGCGCCAATCGTTGTAGAGTTCAAGCAGAGGAGAGAAGTCTGCCCTGAGTGACTTCGTGGTTGCCAAAACTGTCAATTGAAGAAAACCACACAACCTAAAAGTTACAAGTTGAGTTTTATTCGTGGATCTTACTGAAGACTATAGCTGGGAGAGAGCCTTTCAAGTAGCTCTGAGAAGGTAAGAAAGGAGCCAGGATATATACAAGTTTTTTTTGCTGGGAAAAAAAAACACATGTAGTTGGACATTAAGAGATTGCTGCTGATCACAAAACAGGAGATGTCTCAAGTTCATGATTTTAGTGCTTGTCTGTATATGGGAAGATGCAAGAATCTGGGATCACTGAACTTATTCCTTAGATATGTATTTTAACTATCTAGGGACGGTATCCAAAGCAAAGAATGCTTCCTGTTTCTCTCCATCCTATATCCTAAGGGTGTACCACTGGTGAGCAGCTGCAGTGGCTAAGGGCTTTATCACTGTGGAACTGGAATTGCAGGCAACGTTCTTTATTTACAGAGCTCTCCGTAATTATGGAAACTTTCTGTATCTTTGGGGACCAGTAGAGTAGCCACTAGCTCTATGTGGCTGCTGAGCATTCATGATGTTGTTCATATGGGTGAGGAACTGGGTGTCCAATTTTATCTGGCTTTAATTACTTTCAATTTAGATAGCTACATGGCCAGCAGCTGAGGAAATAAATTTTAAATTTTGTTTAATTTAAATTTCAATGTAGCAAGCGGCCAGCCTATTGATCAGTAAAACTCTAACTCAAAAAAGACTGTTGCACACATGGATCTCATGTCACATTTTTTCATTCACTGAGGGGAAGGGGGTACGAGATGGAGATAAATGTGGATCCTGGCCAAATTCGTTGAATCTTACAGGCAGATAACTGAAATCTGAATAATCCTTACAAATGTACTGGAGTCGTAATATTCTGTCTATAGAAGATCTAAAAAAGTCAAACTTACATAAACAGAGAGTAGAAGGGTGGTTACCAGGGGCTGGGGGTAGGGGAAATGGAGAGACGTTAATCAAAGGGTACAAAGTTTCCATTATGCAGCATGAATAAGTTCTGAGGATCTAATGTACAGCATAGAGATGATAGTTAACAATACGGTATTATAGACTGGAAATTTGTTAAGATCGTAAATGTTCTCACCTCAAAAAGAAAAGAGTAACTATGTCAGGTGATGGATATGTTAATTAGCTTGGTTGTAGTAACCATTTCACAATGTGTGCATATATCAAATCATCACC